AAGAACTGTTGTGGGAAAGGAGAAGAGATTTGTAGAGCAAGAGGCACAGCACAACACACGCCCGTCCCTGGCTGCGGGGCGCGGAACCTAACCCTCCCGGGCAGGATGGGACGTTGAAGAAGGAGCTGAGAATTCTGGGGAGAGTTGGGTCCGGGGATCAAAGGCCAGACAGGAGTCTATGCAAACACTTAAAAAAGTCTTATGTCCACTCAAACTAAACAGTGGAGGCAGCACGGTAAATAAAGAGAAAAGTAGCAACGGCCTGTATGTCTCCTGTTTTCATCTCAGTGGGTCTGAACTGTGGTTTCCGTGTCCTTCCTGCCCACAAGAAGCATCTGGAACCCGCAGCCCTGAGTGTCTCAGTAAGGCTGTTGGGACTGTGTTTCTCTTGGTTGCATCTCAGACCCAAGAGGTCTGTCTCGGTTCCCGATGCAAGGTGGACCATTCTCCTGGTGCCTGGTGCTCAGTGACGTTGCTCCAGCCCCTGCGTCCCCCTCCCCCAGATCTGTTGCCCCATCTGTCGGCTCCTCCTCTCCTGTCAGAGGCGCCTCCTCTCCATCGACCCTGAGACAGGGCTGAGACCTCATTTTCTTCCTCCTTCTTCCTTGAAAAACCTGCCGTCTCCTCTTGACCTGGGGATTGTGTGTAGTCCTAGATGACGTGGGGCTTCTGTGTGGTCCCAGGTGATATGGCCTCCAGTAAAATGCCTGGCAGAGAGCGGTCACTCAGTAATTATCTAATAAGTTCAATTCAAGCTTAATCTGACCTTTGAGCTACCTGAGAACGATGAGGCTTTTTCCTTAATTAGAGAGAATGAAAAGGAGGCAAAGACAGTTAAAATACTGAAGCTGCGTGTTTTTTTTGGGTGAAGAAAATTGGCCCTGAGCTAAGATCTGTGCCAGTCTTACTTTATTTTGTATATGGGACGCAGCCACAGCATGGCTTGACAAGTGGTGCATAGGTCTGCACTCGGGATTCGAACCTGTGACCCCCCAGGCCACCAAAGCAGAGGGCACAAAGGTAACCACTACCCCACCAGGCCGGCCCCAGAAGCAGGGTGTTTTTAAAAGACACACAAATTGGCTTACATTACTTCCAGCAAATGAATGAATGAATGAATGAGTGAGTGAATGAATAAAGTCGCAATCTCTCTGGGAGAAAATATCCTGCATCAAATTGTGCTTCTCTTTCCTATTTACACTGCACTCTGCAGGGTTGAAAACACAATTTCCACATTTGCATCTAGATTGAGGTTCTCTGTTTTACTAATAAGTAGAGAACTCTGCTGAAATCTGAGGAAGCTCAGGCATTAAAATGAAGAAATTACTCTTTAGAACAGGCTTGCATTTGTAACCACTCTCCCCCCTGTCCCTCGGTTGCTCTCAAAATTATTTACCTCTCAAACCCCACCAGATCCGCCCACATCGCCGAGCCCCTCACTGCGCTTCTGTTCCACCTTCCTCCCTCAGCGTGTGAGCCTTGTCCTCGGATCAAGCAAACACTCATGGAAGCTATAGTCACTTTCTAGTGACCTATTATTTAGAAAGTTCTTGCTTTTGCGAGTCTTATAGCTGCAGAATTACATATTTCAGAGGGTTTTTTCTTAATATTACCCATACCATATATTTCATTTCATAAATAGTAAAAAAGTCTTCAATCAGTATTACGATGGGAAAATCCATCTATGTTAAGATTTGAAGAGTATTTGAACCTGTTTCTTAAACATTGGGACTTTCTTCCAGCTTTCTCTCTGGCTTAAACCCGTGCATTTTTTAAGCAAAACACAGATCCTGTTTTTGATCCACGTGCCTTTGACTTACGTGGTTCCCAGAGCAAGAGCTACTTGGTGTCCAGACAGCGCCTGAGTGCAGCTCCACGGCTGTCCTCTGCCTCTCTCTGTGCACCTGTGCAAACAGCACTCCTCTGTGAAAAGAAAGGAAATGCCAGCCCTTGTAACTCTGAGGTTGTGGGTTTTTTTTTTAAGAGTTTCACTCAAGGTCCAATTGACTTCTTTCTAAATTTGGCAAAGTGCCTTTTATAAACTTAATTCGTTTGAAGACCCTCAAACAAGTTCTTTTAATAAACAGTGAATTCTTTAGAATAAGACTATTTTATTTTCCTTAATGGGCTTTGCTTCTTCAAGAATAAAGGTCAGCTGAAAGCCCATTTTCCTCTCTGCAGTCTCGCTTGGAACCTAATTGCTATTAAAATTAGGGATGGGGAGAGATGTGCATAAAATGTGTGTTCTCTTATTTCTGACAAAGAATAGCTCCATTGTTGGTTCTACATCATTAAATTATCAAGATTATGGTCAATTTCCAAATGACTGAATGCTGGGATTTTTTTTTTATTAAAAGGTGTAGAGGCTGTCTCTCTCCATTTAGAGAAAATGGTAATTACAATGTCTTATCCTAAGTCACCTGCATTTCCTCACTTAGGATTTTAGGAAATACAAATAGACCACCTCTCAAACACAAAAACCAGCAGGATTTAGGTTATTCCATCTTTTCATCTAAAACAGAAGATGGGGCGGGCGAAACCAGGCCCTGTGATGACTGGTCCTGAGCGTGTTTCATGCTCCCATCTGTTCCTCGGTGTCTCTCCCTCTCAGCCTCTCCCCATCTCCCCCTCTCTTCCTCTCTTGCGCAATGCTTCAGTGCAGGGCCAGCTGTGTGTTCTGAGAACAAGTCCATCAGAACTCTCCAGAGCTTTGAGGGGAGGAATGAGGCAATGGATTTCAGTGGGTGGCTGGACATCCTCAGGCACAACAAGCCCAGGGTCCTCATATCTTGGGAGATGCGTGCCCCCAGGGGCATGCCTCCGTTTGGCTGGAAAGTTAAAAATGCAGCATTTCAGGTGATGTGAAAAAACCAGCCTTGAAACTCCTTAGTGACGCAAGTCAGTCGAATGCAATATGTGCTGCTCTATCCATTTTTAAGTAAAAGAACAAATTTTTGCAAACCCCCCCTGAATAGGCAGTGATCTCTTTTCACTTGCCTCTGGGCTAAAATAAGCATGGACTGTTTCAGCAAGTTACTTTACTCTCAGGAAAAACTAGAGCATGCCGTGTGAATTTGAGCTAATTTGAAAAGTCAGTGTCTCCTGTGTCCTGGAGGCCCCACTGGATGCAGCTGTCATCTCCCAGTGCTAGTCACCCATCTCTTGGCTGAAGCCTTCATCCAGAAATCTGGAAAATGACCCCCCTGGAGCAGTTTTTCCAGCTCTCAAAGAACACGTTGAGAGATTATTACCCACACCTTCCTGGCCACCGTGCACTCTGCCCTTCCTGTCTGGGACCCCAGGATCTGGGCTGTGAGAACCCCCCGGACTCTGTGAGGGATGTGGTCCCCAGGCAGTCCGTCCTGCCACGGGGTCATTCTTCCTTCCCTGGCTTGATCTCAGCATCTTTCAACAGTGCCAGCGAGGACCCTCAGAGCTGCAAGAGGAGAGTTCTGCTATCTTCTCAAGGGATGAAGCACCCTCAGGGAATTTCCTTTTTGCCTCTTACTGATGCGAGAGCAAGTTGATGAGCATCCCTGAACTTTTGCTAAACTCCATTCCTATTTTTCCTCCGGCTCAGACTGGAAGAGGGGATGGGTCATTTTGAACAGAGCTCTCGCAACTTTATAAACATTCCTGGGGCAAACGACGCCAAATAAACCTGTTCAAATATACACGGTACCCGCAGGGTCCAAACACGCCTGCAGAGCGTTTAGTAACAGTACCCGCAGGGTCCAAACACGCCTGCAGAGCGTTTAGTAACAGTACCCGCA